TGCCCCCCCCACAGCCGTGTCCCCCCCCAGCTCTGCTCCCTCCCCACCCTGTCCAAGGAGCTCCTACTTCACAAGACTTGCAAACTAACCCTCTCTCTCTTTAGCAAGTGGTTATTTCTTTAAAAACATCTCTTGCAAAATGCTGCAGATCCCCGGGTGGGGGTGGGGGGGTCCTTTTTGGGTTCTGCTTCCTTGTTTGAATTATTCCCCTGCCCCATGATACCAGGAGTAAATGATCTTAAATGGGCTTAAAGCAGAAAAGCTGCAAACAATGGACCTTGTAGGAGTCACCTGCTGGCCTGCAGCATTAAACCTGCTGCCCTTTGACAGGAGACACTCTGCTGCTTGGAAAACCTAGTGGGAGAATGAGTTTCCTGCACATTTCAAGAAGAAAAACCCTAGTGCTGGATGGTGGTTCTCTGTTGTCACATCCTTTATGTCAGTATTGTAAAAATCAGCTATTTCAAAAGAGGGCAACCCTGTCCTTGCTTTAAAGTAACTTATTTTTTGGTGTGGTTTCAGTTCTTGTTTGCTCCTTACTTTTGAGGAAATGAAACACAATTGTATCACCTACCTCAAACTCTTAATCTGAAAGTTCTGCTTATTCTAAATTAAATGGGTAATTAGTGTAGAGCTGCTGAAGAGGGATCCCTTTGTTTATCTCTGCAGGGATGATAAACACTTTATATTTGATAAAATATATAAATAAAATTATAAAGTGTACAATTGATGGCCTTTTTTATCTTTAAAGCCCATGTGAATTAAGGTGAATTAATTAGTTTCTCTCTCTAGTGCCAGATTGGCTTCTCTCTTTGGTCTGGATCAAACAGTCTCAAGCCATGGAAATGAATTCTTCCAGTACACGGCACCAAAACAGCCTAAGAAGGCTCAAACAGCAGCTGGTATGTAACTGGATGGGGGGGAAACTTTACAGCACGTGTCTTGCTGGAGGAAGGAGGGTCTTTGTGAAGGGCAGCAGTGCAAATAACTCAGTTGTTCTTTAATGAGCAAAGCTCCAGAGGAGGCCACGGAGATGCTGGGAGGGCTGGAGCAGCTCTGCTCTGGAGCCAGGCTGGGAGAGTTGGGGTGTTCAGCCTGGAGAAGAGAAGGCTCCAGGGAGACCTGAGAGCACCTTCCAGTGCCTGAAGGGGCTCCAGGAAAGCTGGGGAGGGGCTTGGGACAAGGGCAGGGAGGGAGAGGACAAGGGGGAATGGATTAAAACTGGGAGAGGGGAGATTTAGGTGGAACATGAGGAGGAAATTCTTTAGTGTGAGGACATTGAGGCTCTGGCCCAGGTTGCCCAGGGAAGCTGTGGCTGCCCCATCCCTGGCAGTGTTGAAGGGCAGGTTGGATGGGGCTTGGAGCAACCTGGGCTGGTGGGAGGTGTCCCTGCCCATGCAGGGGTGGGACTGGATGATCTTTAAGGTCCCTTCCAACCCAAACCAGTCTGTGGTTCTATGATTATTCTCCAGTCCCCTCTCTGGTTGCTCTAGTGGCCACTGGTGACTTTGAAACATCCTTCTTTGTTTTTTAATCTTCTGGAGTTTCCTTGGGGGAAGGAGTCTGTTGGGGCACTGTCCCTGGCCAGTGGTGTGGCAGCTCTGTCACTGCCAGCTCTTCCTGCTGTTTGTTCTCTGGCAGGTCCAGCAGCCCAGAAGGCTCCTGCAGCTTCAGGAGCCCCCTCGGTGTTCGTGGCCACTGCAGTTCATGCCTACAGATAGTAAGTGCAGCAGGTTCCTCCTGTTAGAGCCTGTGGCTCTGGGAGATTAAGACCTAACCATAGAGGGAAGATACCTCTGGATGAGTGTGAAGAGACTATTGCTTGCAGACAAGAGTCTGCGTGGTACATTGTTTCTGGTGTTGTGGTGCACTTTGGGGTTACACAGTTGTCAAGTAAATCAGGTTTGGGTGTTACAGGGAGCTGTGTCCTGGCTTGACATTTGCACTTTTTCCAGGCAGCTCTGTCAGGTGCTTGTGTCTCATAAGTTCCCTCATGGAGACCTGAGGCATGAGCACAGAGTGACACCAATAGAATTCCCTCCTGGTGACACTGCCACTGTGGAAAAACTCACCCAGGGGCTATGAAAAGAGCAGCTTTCAACTCAGACTCCATAATGGATCTGTAATTTGTGACCAAGCAAGGAAGCTGTAGTTTCTTTAAGCTGAGAAAGGCTTCCTAGCATGTTAAGAATGAAGAAAGGGACCTGAAGGCTAAAAGGGAAAAGCTCAGCATCAGTAGAGAGAAATCTGAGGCAGGGACAGTTCTGCAGCTGAATATCTTGCTTGTCTTCCAGTACAAATGGGCAGTACTTGAAGCAAGGCAAGTATGGAGCAGCTGTAGTGGGGAACCATGCCACTAAAGAGGTGAGAAACCCTTCCCTGTTTTAACATTTTGGTGCTGAGAGGGTGCTGGTGTTTCCCTGAGCTCCCCAGGATGCCTTTGCTTTTGGTGTTGGAAGTCTCAGTTCCACCACTGCTCGTGCCTTCCTGCCCTCCTGGCTTTACTCAGGGCTCAGCCTTTCACCTGAGTGACGTCTCTTCTGCAATCCACAAGATTGTAGGATCTCTTACAACTTGTGCTTGAAATACTTTGCATCGTTTCAGGCACTGCACTTCTTCTGATGTTTCTGGAAGTGATTTTGGTATTTATCCAGAATGTCTTTGACGACTGGATCACAAATCTGTGCATGTGGAAATCAAGATAAAGTGAAATTTTGTCTACAGAGGTGCTTTGCTTAAGTTTTGTTAATTTGATATAAAAAATACCTCTCCCTCCTTCCCAAGTACTTGTCTAAGAGCACAGCACTGGGGTGCCCAGTAAATTGGTGTGTTTAAAAGATACTTTGAATACTTTTATCTGGCCTTGGTGTTGGTATGTGTGGGGTTTTGTGTCCCCTAATCCCTGTTGTCCCAAGATGTTTCTGCTTTGGCAAGAACAAACAAAAATAGTAGTTGAGCAAACTAACTCCTGACTCAGGGATCTGAGAAGTGCACAGGTGTGGCACTGGGGTGAGCAGGGAAGGACAAAGCTGGCAAAAGAGAGGTGACAGAGCCTTTCTCAGGGTGCCTGTCATAGCACAGGAGAGACCCCCCAGATGTGTTGAGTGAAGAAGCCATTGCTCCAGGTGCATGAAGAAAAGCTCTTTTCCTCACTAGCTCACGTCTAGCAGAGTCACATGTGTCCATAGATGTTATAGCTGCATTGTTTGGTACTTGGAAAACCCTCCACCTTCAATAATTTACATGGTTTTATGCCTGTCTGCCATGTTTTATGAGTTCTATGCATTGAAGAGTTAGTGCATCATCTTTTTACACTGAACTGCCAAAAAGGTGGAATTAGTTAAAGCAACTGGCTTCTTGCAAAATAATTAGTTTGAGTTGCTTGATTCCTGTAGCTAAATAAAACTTGTATATTTTCAAGGGCTTTTAATAGGTGTTAAAGAATTGTGTTCAGGATTTTTGCTGCAACGTGTGTTTGGCAAATAAATACTGTAGCCTTAGGCTCAGAATTTGCCAAAGCGCATAAAAATTGAAGATGTTTTGAGTTTCTACTGTTTGTTCTTCTTCCCTGCCCAATTCCTTGTGGAATCCAGTACAGGATCCTCCTTTACATCAGCCAGCAGCAACAGATTGCAACTGCCAGGATCCATCCAGGCTTCATGCTCACGGTAAGATTCTGGATGAGGAAGTTTCCAGTGATCTGTGTCATTCACAGCAAACAGGACTTGACTGAAATTCTTCCAAGTCTTTGATGACAGCCTTTGAGATCAGATCCCTGACTGACATAGCAGAAGTGTTACAGGGACTCCTCTTCCTGCTGTGTGTTGCACAAGAGGCTGTTCCATCTGCCTTTTGCAGAGCACTTTATCAGGAGATCTCCTGATGTGAGTTTGTGCACTGCAAGAGGTGCATTATTACCTCTAGGTCACAGGGGGATATTTGGAGTTTTGCAATCCTACAGTGGAGAGAAACAGAACAAAATTCCTCTTGCTAATAATTAGTAGTGAAGTGACTGAGAGAATACAACTGAGCAAGCAGAAGGAAACCATGGCAAGGAAATGTTTTCTCAGAAATCTGACACTCAGCATTTTCATGCTGATAAAAACAATCTGGAGCATTTTTAGCCCTAAAATGGGACCTCTCAGGAAGTTCTGGTTTTGCCAGCTTTGCAGAAAATTAGTGTGTTGGTTTGCTTCTCTTAGCTTGTCACCAGGTGACACAAAATGTCTTTATTTGGTAGGAAAGCTATCCTGAAATAGTAGAGTTTCAGTACAAACTTCTGAGCAGAATGCTGGCTGCTTCTTTAGTTTTATAAGCACATTTTGAAAGATAAATGGGTCATGTCCTTAGCTGGTGGTGACATGGATTTTTAAAAGTGGGAAAAGAGTGACTCCTCCAGTTGATTCTGAAAGTCTATATGTAATCAATACTTGTGAAAAGGAGATCACTTGCACTTAAACATCTCAGTATATATTACAGAACTTAGCTTCAGAGAAGCCTGTGAAAGCTGCAGCATCTATAAAGAACTTATTGTTTGCTCAAGTATTTGAGTTATAATAATTCTGCCACAATATGAGCACATAAATAAAAGCAAATTTTTGCAGTCTGAATTTGAGTAGTAATACAGCAGGATTCTTCCCCTGCTTATTTTCAGTAGCTCTTAGTTTAAGCTGCTTTTGGGTATGGATTTATTTATATTTTTATTTATTTATGGATTTATTTTAGCTGAATGCATCTTTTAATGTATAAGAACTGATTTCCTTTCCCACAGGTTCAACCCAACAATTACAGTACATTCTATGATGATCAGAGACAAAACTGGTCCATCATGTTTGAGTCAGAAAAGGCAGCAATGGATTTCAGTAAACAGGTAAGTACTTGTTCCATGCCAGGTGGGACCTGCTGGCCCCTTATAGGGCAACAGGCACGTTGGGATGTATCTCTGAGAGCACCTTATTGCTAAAAGATTGTAAGTCAGTCATAGAATCAGAATGGTTTGGGTTGGAAGGGACCTTCAGAGGTCACTAGTCCAACCCCCCTGCAGTGAGCAGGGACCTGCTTTGTCACTGAAGTTCAGGTTTAAGAATCTGCATGAGTGAGACTGAGGCAGATCTGTGCTCAGCCTGGCTGAGTGTTGTTTATTAGTTACAGGCCTCTGTATATTGTCACTTCTGATGGGGTTTCTAACCCAGACTCTCCAGTATCGAGAGACCATCTGTTCTGCAGAGCAGAAGATGTTTACTTCTTACATAGCTCAGCAAACTTCAGCACAAGGAAACATGGAGCACCTCTTCAGTGTGTCTGTGTCCTGGGCTTGATTAGCACAAAATGGATCAGATCTGTGGTGAATCACAGTGGAACTTCCCACCCTGTTTAGTGACCAGAGACACTGATGGACTTTCCCCCTGCAGGTGTGCATTGCCAAATGCAACAGCTCCCCAGTGCTTGAGTCTGTCCTCTACCAGGATCTCCTGCTTGGAGAAGGGCAAGGAGTAGAAGGAGGAGACTCTCTGGAGATCGCCTATACAGGCTGGCTGTTTCAGAACCACGGGCTTGGGCAGGTAAAGACATTTCTGCTGCCTCCTAGTACTGAGTGAGGGTGATAATCCCTGGAAGGGACCTGCCACATCTAGCACAGTGTTGGTGCTGCTGTTAAAGCTGTGTTTGCAGGCACTTATGGCACCATAAGTGAGGTCCTATGTTTTACCTGTAGAATAATAAGGGATTCTGTTGCTGTTCAGGAGAAAGCAAGCGAGATGCTTTTAGCTTCCATAGGCTCTCTCACACATCATAGAATGCCAGGTTGGAAGGTCACCTGGAGATCACCTGGTCCCATGTTTATTGGAAATGGTGAGAACAGACAATGAAGGTAGCTATGATCCTTTGGAAGTGACTTGAGGAAGTGATAAGAATAAGAAGGGCCTTGTCTGACACAAAGTGCATCTTCAAATGGTCCATCCTCTACAGCTGTGTCTGATCCAATTTGCTAATAAGCAGAAGAAATGCTTTCATGTTTCCAAGCATTACCTTTCAAACACTTCTGCTGGTTTTACTGTTAGTGTAATGAATGGGAAAAAGTTTTGCATCCATCTGCAGTTGAATCTTTTTGCTATAAAAAAGGGCTTTCTGTTTTTCATCTTCAGGGGATTTTTTGTTTCCTGTTCTGCCTGGCATCTTTCTCTCCCTCTGTGCCAATGGTGCAAAACAGAGTCTACTTCCTATCTCCTGGCAGAGTTGTTCAGCTGCATATGACTTTGTTTAATGTACAACATTTCCAGACAGCTATTTGCTGCTTGATATAGGCCTGTTGTGTAGTGGTTTACTTGGCCCAACCCTGTCCTGACCCTCAAGCTCAAACCAGTTTTGGTCTTGAGTCTCCAGCTCTTATTCACTTGAAGAACTAGCACCATGCTGGGCTAGAAACTGTAGCCACGCTCAGTCTGAAGTCTGTTGAGAATTAATTTTGGAAGTAGCAGAATGGGGAGTAGCACATAAGAGATTGCAAGAGTTTATGGGTTATGTAAAGTAGCATTCAGAATCCTGAAACAGTTGGGAAATGAACGTGTTTCGTGTTTTTGTCCAACTCTCCAGGTGTTTGACTCAAATGTTAACAAAGACAAGCTGTTGCGGCTAAAGCTGGGATCTGGGAAGGTCATCAAGGTACAACTTCTGACTCTTATAATCATTGAAATCTCAGAGCTTTGAATTGCTCAAGATCTTCAGGGTTCATATATCCTATTTCTGTTACATGTTTCATTTGATAGAAACACTGTCTAACAGTCACTCACTCAAGGTTTATTACATCTTAATTTGTGCAGTATAGCCAGGTCTGCTTGCTGGCAGTGTTAGAAAGAAATAGTCCTGTTTGACAGAAAGAAGGCTTCCTGTTTTAAAGAACTGGGCTTTTTGGGTTTTTTTTGTCTTTGCTTTTCTGGAAATCACTTAGTCCATTACCTTGTTCTCAGGGAACCCTAAAGAAAGATTTCAATTTGAGAAAAACTTCCCACTCCCCACTTGTGCCTCAGCAGCAGAGCATCAGGTAGTTCTGATAAAGCACCTGGAAGGAGAGCACTGACAACTTTTAGAATGGTCTGATAAAAGAGAGTACTGCTGCCTGGAGGGGTTTTACTCTCAAGTCAAGCTGTGAGGGTTTTGACTGTAAGAATTTTTCAGTTTAGGTGGTGTTGTATTCCCTTATGTTATTCCATAAAATCGGGTTGTGGATCAGAGGTGCTTTTGTTCAGCTCACTGCCATTCCCTGAGTAATTCATACCTGACCTGTTATAATTTGTCCCTTACTGAAGATGCACTATTTTTCTACTTTATTTTTTTGACCTGTATCTTCTTGCTCATGTTGCCTGGGTGTTGTAGTCATCCTGTTAAATGCTGGCATCCATATGACAGTTGGCATTGCCCTGGTTTTGAAATCTCCTTCACTACAACTGTTTTCTGTGGGTGCTTGGTAAATCCAACCAAAGCAATTCAGAAGTGATCTCTCAGAATTTGTGCACACAGCACAGCAAGCAGTTCTTTCCACCAGAATGTCAGTGTGATCTGTGATAGCTGCTGAGGTTACAATATTTAAAACTTGAACTAGGTGTCTGTAACCATACAGAGACCTGGATGCCTCCAACCTTCATGCTAAGTATTGCTGATACCTGTTTGAGTTCGTTATGAATGTGTCAGGAGCTGCATCTTTATTCATAAGTTAATGTTGCAATTTATGATTGGCCTTTATGACTTGTAAGACAAAGATCTAGTGCTGCAGACTGAAAATAAGATTTTGCAAGAATCTCTCTGTGTGTCCTGGAATCTTCTTGAACTGGTGCCTGAAGCACTCTTAATCAGTGTAATAAAAGAAACTAACGTCACTGATCAAACTGTTTGCTTTCTCTTTGGTTGTGTCTCTGAAAACCAAAGGGCTGGGAAGAAGGAATGCAGGGAATGAAGAAAGGAGGACGGAGGTTCCTGATCATCCCTCCAGCCTGGGCCTACGGGGCTCAGGGCGTGACTGGTCGTGTCCCCCCAGACTCAACTCTAGTGTTTGAGGTGGAGGTGAGGAGGGTGAGTGTCTCCTGCCAAGCCTTTAGTTAACATCTTTTCTGTGGCTGGTGGGTGGCAGTGTCTGTCTGCATGGTGAGAAGCTGCTGTTGGCATGAGAACTGCAGATCTGAAGCAGTTATAAACCAAATACCTCGGGAAGATGCATATCTGTAATTTTAAAAGTACACAAAACCCTCACCCAAAAAAATCCCTCTAGGCTGCTTACTAAGACATGTCTGTTCTAACTGTCTTGGGATCTTTTCCTTGTCTTCTGTGTGAGTCACTTGGGAAAACAAAATGCTCATAGTGAGGATCTAAAGACTCTGCTTCTCTGGTTCTGAATCAGTTGTATGCTTTTACTTTTGAAGTGTATGAGCTTGACAAAGGAGTAGTCAGCAAAAGTCACCAAGTTGCTGGAAACTCTTTTTTGGGAACCCAGAAAAACTTCTCTTCTTATGTGCTTTTTAAGGTGAAGCTGGTAAAGGAATGTTCTGGCTCTGATGGACAGAGTGTTAGCTCAAGGGATTCTCCTGCACCTTCTCCAGTACCCAGTTCAGATGGCTTCTCTGCTGACACTGGTTTATTGCCTCCAACTACTATACCTCCAAAGCCTGGGTGAGAAGCAGCACAGTTAAAATAACTCACTGTATTAAAGAGATGCCAGTGCTGATAAACATCTGGCACCATGCTGCAGTAGCACATCATGTGGCAAATGTGGGTGCTGTGGGTGCCATCTCGGTGCCTTCAGTTGGCAGAGGAATGTTTGCTAGCAAGATATGCAAATAATTCCCAGCTTCAGGAAACCTGACCTTCAGGTTTCTAGTAATTGAAATGGGCACAGATGAAAGAAGTCATTGCAGCATTGCTGAGGCCTGGTGTGATTGGGCTGCATGGGTGCTGCTGCAGCAGCTTTCTCACCTCGGGTGACAGTGTTGTCTTCAGTAATGGCTGGTATGATTAGTTGCAGATTTTACACTGTCATTTGTCATTTAACTAAATAGGTCAGTCATCCTTCTTGAGGAGTTAGTCTAAGTGTTCTTTTTGTTGCCATAAGTAGTTTGGTATTGGACTTGTTTAAAATTGTACCAGAATGTGGCTGTTACAGCAACCAGCAAAATCATCTTTCTGGAATCAGCTGTTCCACAGCCATGGAACCTGCCCAAAATGATGGTCTGAAATCTACAGACTTGTTGCAAACAATCTTCCAGAAGTAAGCTAGAAGAAATGCTCATGATATAGGAAAATGGTTTTCCTAGAGGGAGGTTTATTTTAAGAAATGCAGAATATTGGATCCTGAATGTAGTCTTTGTTAATCTCTGACATCCACATCCCCCATTGGCTTTCCAGGGAGCCAGCTGTTCGGGCCAAGTCAAACTCCATCAGTGAACAGCTAGCAGTAAGTGCTGGTGTTTTTTCCTAACTCATTTGAAGCCTTAAGTAGGGAAGCTTGGCTCACCTCTGCCTTCAGTGTTGTTGAAGATCAGGTGAACATCATGCAAGAAAAAGGTTCAGATTAGGGCCTCAGGGATTAGCAGAACATGAGGAACCTCAGTCCCACTTTCTACTCTTAAATGCAAAGTGATGTTGACCATGTGGATAATCACAAGGCTAGTTGTTGTTTTCTTGGATAAATGAGCACATTTAAATGGTTAACAAAGAGGAACTGGAACATTTAGTGTAAGTTTTTATAGCTACACAAGACTTTGTATGTGCCTCAGGACAGCAAAAGCTGCTAAGCAGCTTCCTTAATTCAAACATTTTCTTCTTATTACTGTGTTTTCTGCAGGGATAGATAGTCTGTCATAACAGCCATGTCATCCCAGAAGGACAGTATATAAAGCCAGCCAGATGAACAAATCCAGTGTTAACCTGTGTGTTTGAAAATTAGCTTTTTACACAGTCCTTGAAAAACTGGAAGAACCAGAATTAAGTCAGTGATTTAGAACAGTCTGATACTAACAGATGTATCTGCAGTGTCTGAAAAGCCTGAGCTGAGAGACAAAGGAAGAGTAACTGCAGACATTTCTTCTAGAACCCAGACGTAGCCAAGGCAAAGCTGATTTCTCGGATGGCCAAGATGGGGCAGCCCATGCTGCCGTTCCTCGCCGGCACAGCGGGGGGGCAGCTGGACTCCAGTGACTCAGAAATAGAGGTACATCCCTCATCACACAAGTGTCTCTTTCTGATGCTTTTTCTACACTGTGAATCCTTGGAAGTGGGATCTGAGCAACAGCTGTTCCTTCATACAGGGAAAGCATTCTCTGTTGCTGTGGCAAAAGGGTTTAACGATTCCACTGTTCCTGTCTGGGTTAATTGGGGAACACTTAGTCTGCAGTGATCTTGGGTTCAAGCTGTTCACTCATTCTTTAGCATTCATTGTAATCAGAATTTTTTTTCAGGATCCAAATACACTGAGAGGGACAGCACAGCCAGTGTCTTCATCTTCCATGAGACCATCCCAGCCAGCCCATGCTGTGCTGCCCACGGTGTCAGCACAAGGTAAAGTAGCTACAGAGTCATCTCACTGCTTAGCAGGCTTCAAGTGCAAGGGCTGTATGAATGGAGGATTTTTCTGATAGCTTCTAACAATGATTGCTGATCCAAAGGTAGGCTAATGCTAGAAAGCTGAACTCCTTAGAGTATGTCCTCCTTGTGATCTTGAGCAGGCATTACAGCTTGAGGAGAAGACACAGTGCGGGAGCTGTTCTGTCACTGTGTGTGCTCTGGGGCACTGAGATTTCTAGGGCATGTGATTTGTATTTGTAAATGGAACTGCTACAAAAATCCTTCCCCAGTGCAGAGAAATTTTTGTTTGAAAATGATGGAAATAATAGCAAAGGACATCAGAGAGCTGGCAGCTCTGGAGTGGGCTTGACCGCTTGTCATCCCATGATGGAACAGCTGTGTCAGCTGCTGATCTGCTGAGCAGCTTTTAGAGTCAGTCTGAGGAACATCTTGTGTCAGTAAACAAAGCCACTTTTGTTTGAGTGGAAAGAGGTGGTCTAAATGTAGCCAGAAGTTAAGTTTCTGTGAAAGTGTGCTATTTTCTTGACCTTTTATCATTTGTTTTACTGGATTTAATTTTCACAAGACTGCAGACAGGCAGTGCTAAATTTTTTTCTACTTAGCTTTTTTTTGGCCATTTCACACTGGGCAAGTTTCATTCTTTCAAGCTGCTTTATGGTTTGCTGAATTGCTTTCTTCCCTTTCAGTACCTCAGGCATCTGTTTCTACACCTCCAGTATCTTCTGCTGCTTTAATCCCTGCAACAATCCAGCCCCACTCAGCTCTGCCTGGAGGAGCACAGGGCTTTCAGGTACCAAAATAATATCAAGGAGTATATTGGCATTTCTGTCCTTTCTCCTACATCTTTCTGTCTGCTCCAGTGCTGGGAGCAAGGACCTCACAGCAGCATGTAAGGATGAGAATCCTGGGCTGCTTCTTTTGACTTTTCTGTGGCATTCTCAGCTTTCCATCACTTCCCCTGTAATTTTAATCATAAAGTGCTAATTTTCTGCCCACTGAGGGCTTCTTGGGGCTAAAACCCATTAAAACCACTGAAGTGAGGAGGGGGGAAATACCAAAACATGCTGTAATCTGTTGAACTTGTGGTGCCAGGCGTATCCAGGAATGGCATTTGCTTATCCCCAAACTGCTGCATCTGCTTCTCAGCTCCAGCCTGTGGGACAGATGTATCCTGCACCTTATCAAGGTATGTTTAAACAAGTACAACAAGGCTGCAAAACCTGCTCTAAACTGTTTATAATGATGCTTTAGGTAGCAGTGGTAACATACACCTCCTGTCTGTGGTGCTGTGATGTTTCATAAGTTGCTATTTTTTGGTACCAAATAGAGGCAAACATTCCCCAATAAATATCCATCTTTTTCTTACCTTAAGAAACTTTCTGCAGTATGAACGTGGAGGGAATTTCTAGTTGTATTCCCAAGGCTGTGCATTATATATTTTATATATGAAATTATATATTTTATATATATAAATATAAAAACATGTAATTTTTATATATATATAAATATATGTATTTTATAGCTTGTCCTGGTTTGAGCCAATATAACTGGAATAGTAAAGGGCTGTCCTGCCAGCCAGGGAAAGAATTTAAGCATATAAAAGCAAACTACCTTCATTTTTGTGTTATATGGGACAAAAGAAGTTAATATTTTTACAGATTTGGGTGGATAGTAGGAGACTTGATCTGACATGGTTTGACCAGAAAAAAATTATAACTGAATATCAGAGTTTCTAGACAGTGTGGTGTACCCATTACTGCGAGAAACCTGTTGATTTCTTAGTTTTCTAACTAGCTCTTGTTATTTAATGCAAAATTCCATTTTCTTCCCTCTTTGTGTATCTCCATAATAATCAGTAATATGGATTCTAGCTTCTAAGCATATATATATATATATATATAGAGAGAGAGAGAGAGAGAGAGAGGCCTTTGCTAAGTAGGAGGTCATAGCCCAAAAAAAAGCACAACCTGAGAAGAACTTAGAGACCTTTAAAGAACCATTTGGGTAATTCCTGTTGGTGAAGATTTGAGTACATCTGAACCTTTCTTGGAGCATATTTTTTTCAGTTCAAAGTTTAAGAAGCCAACCTTGGTTCCTGTTGTTTGATCACCTTGTTGTGTTCTGTTCTGATGTGTCTGGGGGTTTCCCTCTTGTTGACCTAAGTGCTGTCACCTGGCTCAAGAATTTCCTGTGGTCACAAACCTGGCTGTTCATGTTCCTTGGAAAATAACAGTGTTATCAGTTATTCCAGTTAACGTGTCGCTTTTGATTCTGGAAAGAGAGTAGCTGTCCTGTCTGGCAGGCTTCAAACTGCTAATAATTGCTTCAGGTGTGTCTGAGTGCAGATGTTTTACTATAATCTCTCTCCTTTCCATTCAAGCACCCGGGGATGTTGCTTCTTTTCTGATGACAGAAGCTCGGCAGCACAACACTGAGATCCGAATGGCTGTCAGCAAAGTAGTAGATAAAATGGATCATCTGGCTGCCAAGGTGATGTATGGCCTGGCTGGGTTTGTTCATAGCATTGCTGCTGTTTGCTTTCCAGATGGAGTCTGAGGGCTTGGCTCGATTTAAATGCCTTCATTAGGATTGTAAGGGATGTGCTAACTTAGTGAAATGCCGATGTGATCAGACCTTGAAGTGGTAGCAGTTCAGCTACTGTGTAAAAGCTGAGCCTGGCTGGGGGAGGGTGTTGTTTTTTGGGAGAGATTCACTGTCCTGCAGGAGGTGTCACAGCTGATAACAGCAGCATCTTCCCTACACCTGATCAGATGAAAGAGTGCCATGGATCTTTGCAGGTGTCTGGCTCTTACCTATGCCCATAAATTAATTTCATCTGGCTTAAGAGTGGTTTATCCCTGCAGGTGGAGGAGTTGAGGAAACAAAGCACTGGTAACAGCTCCCTGCTGCCTGGTATCTCCTCTGTTACTATGGAAGCCTCCATGATCATGAGCAATATCCAACGCATAATCCAGGTGAGTGTGGAGTCTTATTTGACTGTTTCCATAAGGAACTGTGTTATTCCTAAGAGGAACAGCAGTACTTGCTTGGCCCAAGTGCCCATCCACCCATGTGTTCTGTTTTAGCTTGTCCATGATGCACATGATTTCTGCCCTGTCCTCCCTGCCAGAAGGTCTTCTCAACAGTTGGTGGTGTGGGTACTTTCTGGGGCAGAGCTGATATATTGGAATTTAATAGGCTTGGAAAAGGTTCATTCAGGAGAAATTCAGCCTCTTAAACCGTTAAGGACTGAACCCACAACACCCTGCAGAGTGGAGTTTCACAGCTGAAGTACCTGTTGCAGGAACCACCCACTTCTGGTTTTCTCTGCTTAGACTTGGGCTTCTTAGTTTTTCTAGGCAGCAGTGTTAACAATCTTGGGTTTTGTGGGTGAAAAAGTCAACAAGACACTTTTCTCTAGAATGTGGTTGGGCAACCACAATCCCATGCAGGATTCATGCTAATTGTAGTACAGTGCCTGCCTGTGACTTATCCCCAGGGGGAGGGGATAATCTCACCCTTGTCCAGCATCTACAAAACAGAGGTTTAGCCACTGCTGGAAAGATGTTGGAGTAAGATGAATACTCATGCTGGGTTATGCATTAGGAGAATGAGAGGCTGAAGCAAGAGATATTTGAGAAGAGCAGTCGGATTGAGGAGCAGAATGAGAAGATCAGCGAGTTAATTGAGAGAAATCAGAGGTAAGGAGCTGGGGGCACAGCCTCTGCACCTGCAAAGGCTTCCTAGTTTACACTTGGTTAGATGTAATTAGGAGAGGTTTTCTTTAGGATAAACACATGTTCTGGTATTTTTAATTATTTTTTTTTAAGGCATCAAAAGTGTGGGGATTCCCCCTGCTCTCGCAGGGCAGATCTCCAAAACTATGCCTTACAGTCAATGTGAATGTGCAGAAAGGGGAAAAAAACCCTCATGCCATCTCATTTGAGCACTCTTGCTCTGGGAGTTACTTTACTTTTGCTAGCTTTTTAGTAAGGTGGAAGAAATTATAGGGGATGTGGTGTCCCTAGTTCCACTGTTGGGTGGGTGCGCCATTCAGGTGAAGAAGGGGAATAACTTGTTTAAGGAAATGAAAAGGCCAGCAGATACCAGATTATCTCTTGGCTGTGTGCTAAGAGCATCAGACGTGTTGCAAAGAGGTAAAAGCACTTTCCCAAACTGATACAATCTCGGCTGTGTCAGGCACACCCATCCCTTTTGAGATCGGGCTTCTCTTAGTTCAGGACTTGGTGCAAAATTGTTTCAGATGGGTAATGAAGAAAACTGCCTGGAGATGCTACCTTTTCTGTCTGAGCCTTTTACTCCAAAATTTACCTAAATGCTGATGCAGACCTGCCCTCTTCACAGGTATGTTGAGCAAAGTAACTTGCTGATGGAGCAGAGGAACCATTCGCTGCAAACAACAAATGAGAACACACAGGCAAGAGTGTTGCATGCAGAACAGGAGAAGGTAATGGACACATGGACCTCTGGCTGCAGCCAGGACAGGGACTCATTGCAGAAGCCTTGTTAGTCAAGGCTTAAGTCAGTTCTCTTACGAGACAGCTGTAGTTCTGAACTTATGGTTTGAAAGCTTCTTTTGAGAAAAAAATGGAATGTTTTTGTGGCTTTCATGACAAAAGCAGCACAGAGGGTATAAATGTAGATCTTTATGCGGTCAGGGCTTGATTATTCTTATTTTGCAGGCATAAGGCCAACATGTTGAGGAATTGTGTATATCACAGGGCTTTGTCAGGTTGAAAATACACTTTATTTAATTGCACTGGCAGTTTCAGAGAAGTTTTACTCCTATTTAACTGACACAGTGAACAGAGCTGTAAGAAAAATAAATTCTATTCCAGTTTCTTCATTGCACTTTTACCCTTTTAATACTAATCAAAAGCTGGTTGTTTCTACCAATAATGTATTGTGCTTTTTGTGGAAGGGGCTGTTGGGAAATAGCTTTCAAACCCATCACATGCATGGCTGCATATTCTGTCATGTCTGCCTAGCCCAGGTAGGCTGTCTCTGAGGTCTGTGGTTGCATGATGTCTTCTCTGCTTCCTCAATCACTGGCTTAATGAATTACACCAAGGTCAGTCTTATGCCCTGCTCCCCTGCTGAGCTGTGTAGCTCTCCAGTTCAGAAATGAGATGAGATGTGCTTGCTCTGCATGAGAACCATAACTTGGTGCACCTAAAACCAACAGAAGCTGCAGCTTTCCAAAGTATGCTAAGGAGCACAGCAATGTCTGGCTGATAACTGTGTGCTGGTATGAGCAGACAATGAAGGAGAGACGTATTTTTCCACTGAGAGCCCAGTCACATACCCATAATGTGTAGGGAGTGTGAGAGATTCTAACCAAGAATAAGTCAGCTTGAAATAATTAATAAATTCCTTTATCTGAGAGCCAGACATCCAGCTTGTGTTGTAAGTAACTTGATGAGAAAGCATCTTTTGGAAAGATAAGATATGATCTTCAGGAATCTTTTGGGCCTCATCTTCAGTAGAACTCCACTTGATCCAGCAGTTGCTGCCCAGGTGATAAGTGTGATACAGACTTTGGGCTAGACCAGAAAAGCCATGACCTGCACTGGAGAAGATTTTGTGGCAGTGTTGACTGGAGATCTGAAGGCTGATGTTCCTTCCTTTTCCTTTTGTCTGACCTAGCTTGCTCCATGCCCACAGCTGCTGGGATCACTATGGACAGAATCAGGGAAGAGAATTTTAAGCTATTTCATCTGTTCTTTGCTTAAAAATAGGGATTTGCCCTTTGTTTTGTGGTACAGGCCAAGCATCTGGACTCCGGAGTACTGAGAAGAGGTGTCAGTACCTTCCTGCTTCTGGGTGCTAGATCTTTGACCCTGGCAGAGCACATCACAGGTAGCACAGGAGCACAGAGCTCCAGGTAGCATGAGGACAAATAACACCCCACACTGCCCAGGCAGGGAAACATCAGTCACCTGTAGGGCTGCTCCTGCCCCATGCTGGGCTGGGAAGGGCACCCTGAGCCTCCTCCTTTTCCAGCCAGGCTTCACGACCTTTTTCTGTCTAAGCTTTTACAGTTCTTGGGATAATTTCAAGGCTTCCCTGGCATGCTGCAGGCTCCTGTAATGAAGCATTTCGCTTTTCTGATGATGATTAATGCCTCTGCCTTTCAAGTTGTGTTCTTAACTCTCCCTCTTTCCTGTCACTGCTTTCTCTTCCCAGCACATGCTGCCAGTGGATCGGGGCTGGGACCAGGTGAGGCAGTGTCTGCTGACTGTGTAGGTGACAGATACCTGTGCCCTCAACAGTGCCAGCCCAGCTTCCTCTTGAACTAGATAGAAATGATTGGCCTGGAAAGACCTGCCCTTGATTTAGCATGGATCTTCAACTTGGAAAAGGACTTGGTAATTGCCAGTGTAGCCCCTGACCCTTCCTTCTTGGGGAGCCCTTTCAGAGAGCTTGCTGACATTGCTGCCTGTTTCTGGGAGAAATAGGTCATATATTGTCAGAGCAAATACAGGTCATGTAAGATTCTTGGCGCCTGAAAGCTGGAGACTGGAGCTGAGCTAGTAGAGATAGAAAGCATTCACTGCAGAAATTTAAGTCAGTTCCTGGCACATTATTTCCTTTTTATTTGTCTTTATTTGCCATGGAAGACTAAGGCAAATGTTGAAATAACCTTGAGATACACCATGAGGTTTGGATTTGTTTTTAGCATGCTAGGAGTTAGTATCTTGAACTGCAGTGGTACATTTATGGAAATATAAGAGGAAAGCAGAGCTGTTTTTTTATTATTATTATTATTAGCCAGGGTCTATCAAATGCTGCTTCCTCCCCTCTAAAACTAATGGTGTAGTGTTCCTGTCCCTCAAGGTCAACATGTATTTCATCCTCCTCACCATAGCTGGAACAATTTTGCTCACAGCTCTTCTCTGCCAGGAGGTGATGGTCCTAAGCTGAAGAGAAATGCTTTAGTTCTCTTGTGGGGATAAAGCAGAGGGAAACTCCAGTTCTCCTGAATTTACCAGTTACAAGAACATGAAACCCAGTTAGGAATATGGATGCAGGCAGAGATACTGAAGCTGTTGGGGTGTTTTCTGCAGCGAGGTTTTCTGACAGGCAAGGGGCAGTTCCTGCAGAGCATCCTCTGGATGTTGTGTGTGTCATGCTGCAAGGTTGGGAATGTGACTTTGTGTCCTTTGTCTTGATGCCTTGAACCTCTCCTAACATGTCATTTACAAGTTGTCTTACAAGCTGTATTAGTACCTGGTTTTACATGAGTCCTTGACTTTGAGCAATACTTAATCTGAACAGGTCACCAACTGTGAGAACTACACTCCTCAGGGCAGCCTGGCCCCTGGGGGCACCTCAGAGTGACTGTGCTGTGTGCTGGAGGGAAGGAGCTCTTTTGGCTGGAACAGGCCTATGTTTTGTGTGGGCTTTCAGTGATTTGTAAGCTCATTGATTATAATTTGATGTTGGAGCCCAGGCTTTTACTTGAACAGATGTTGTCATAGCCTGAAAACTCTGAGCAGGACCACCAGGCACTGGTATTATTTGTCTTTTAACACATTTAGGCTTTTCAGGAAAACTCACCGAGTTGAACAGATGTGCTGAAAAGGCTGTTGGTGGCCTTGTGCAGCTTTCTAGTCAGTCTGGAGAGGTTACAGCCAAAGAACTCACAGTAACATGGCAAAAAAGTCATTGTTGCCTCTTCAGTTTGGACATGTGTGATGTGCTGGATCCCAGTGAGGACAGTTCTGGCACCTCCTCACACTCTTGTCCTTTTTTTTTTCTGCTCCCTTTTCCCTGCTCCATTTTGTGATACAGGCCAAAGTTGCAGAGGAGTTGGCAGGTGCCACAGCACAGGTTTCCCAGCTGCAGCTGGAGCTGACTGCCCACCAGAAGAAGGAGATGGACCTAAGGAAGCAGCTCTCTGCTGCCTTGCAGGAGGCAGAGCGGCACGAGGCGCAGCTCAACCGGCTGCAGGCGCAGTTAGCAGGTGGGGCTTCTTGTACCTCTTCCACCAGAGCTCCTTCATGTCATTCTTTTTCCTCTTCCATAAATCATAGGTTATTCCTTTCTTTAGGATGTCTATTCCTGGTTTTCCTAGGATCAGCCACAGGAGTACTAAAGAAGATACTGATGCACTGAAGTGGCTGGAGAGGGTGTGTCCACTAAAGGGAAAATGGGCCAAATCAGTGAACACAGTCATCCTGCCACAGGGTGTCTCCTGTAGCAACAATCTCTTAGCATTACAGTGTAAGATCCCCTACAGGAACCAGAGATGTTCCAGGGGTTGAAAAGTTAAGATAAAAGCTGAGGTGTAAGCAGTGCCATTTCACAGAAGAAGCTCTTGAAAAATTCTAGTTCCCATTGCAAGTGCAAGCAGTGCTGCTGATTTCACTGTGCAAGCGAGTCTGTTCCTTCCCATCAGCCCCCAAATGTGCTAACCTGAAATGCACAGCATGCTGAAACCCACAAGAAAGTGTATTTTTGCAGAGCTCCAGGAAGCCTCTGAGGACACTCAGACTAGGTTCAAAGCTGAGAAGCAGAGCCGCAAGCAGCTGGACATGAAGATTGCAGCGCTGGAAGAGGAGCTGACCGACCTAAAAGTGGAAAAGGAGACTCTGGAAAGGGTATGTCCTGTGGCAGCATCACAGAAGGCTGCAGAGATTCAGTTGCTTGCTGAAATTTAACCCAGAGTTCTTACTTGCACATATGCAAGTGAAGTAAATCTTGACTCATCCCCGTGCTGGGGGATCCTTTGTGCTCCTGGGTTTCTTTATTTTTTAAAAATATCTTGGCCACTAATACGTTAACTTTCCTACCTCTAAAATAATCTCAGCTTGTTTTTAAAGTAATAAGGTTCTCTGCTTAGAGAAGCTCTTTCTGCATGAGGAAGAGAAGCTGCTTTGGTGCAGTCTGGCCTGTTTTATGTCCTGTTCTGTATTGTAGAATCTTGCAGAGAGGAAGAAGAAATCCCTGTCGGAGCGAGCTCAGGCGGAGGAGGAGATGGAAGAAACACGCAGATCTTACCAGCAGGAGCTGGACAAGCTCAGACAGTTGCTGAAAAAGGCACGGACTTCAACTGACCAGGCAGCAGCAGAGCAGGTGAGGAGTCATGGGAGCTTCTCCAGCAAGTGTCTGGACGGCTGGTGGGAACCTACAGCAAGGAAACAGTCATGAAAATGCTCAGGTAGTGGAAGAATTAAAATGTTCTCTGCTTGATTTTAGGGGTTCACTTTGTTTTTGTAAAAAATCTTTTCTGGTTTTAGTTGGCCCTGCTTCTGACCTCAGGGTTTAGACTGATGTCTCACTAAGGAAGTGCAGGAAGGCTGCTAGTCCCAGTGGTTCTCTGACTGGAATCACAGGCCACTGATGTGGCTACAAGGCTTTAGTCCCACCCCAATGCGGGCTGGCAGGTGGCATCAGGGTTAGTGTTGGAGAGACTGAGGAAAGGAGAGGCACCAAGTGAAGTAGAGAGAAGGATGCAGGACTGCTGAGGAGTGAAAGACTGCTTAGAAATGTGCCAAGAATTCTGAAATCTGAGCCAGACCTTCATGCCAGCCTGAGGAACTGTGGCTGGAATTGACCTCCAAGGTGTGGGCAGGAGCTGGTGGCTGCCACAGGGCTGCCATCTGCACGGGAGTGTTCCTGCCCAGGGCAGGTGATGTATCTAGACCCAAGCTCTCAGCGACTTGTGCAAATCAAGGTTATGTTTGTGTGAGTTCCTAATGATCTCTCTTCCATGGTGGGCAGCTGTCCCTCCTCCAGGCAGAGCTGGAATCCCAGTGGGAAGCCAAGTGTGAACGTGCAGTTGCCTCTGCCAAGGAGCAGCACGTTAGACAGTACCAGGAGGTGTGTGAGCAGAGGGATTCCCTGCAGCAACAAGTGTCCCAGCTGGAAGAGAAGGTAAAGACTGTTCTTTATTGCTGAAATGCAATGCCAAATAACCAGTAACTAACCAGCAGTCCTCTCCCACCTGACCCTGGCTTGACCTTTTAATTTATTGGCTATTATGGGATTTGGTCTTGGCCGTAGAGTGTGTCTGCTTTTATCTGCTGGGTTGGTGGGGTGGTGGATTTGCTGCTGCAGCTCTGAGTGAGGGACAGCCAAGATGCTGTCAGTCTCAGGCTGAAGCCACAGCTGCCATCTCCTTTGTGTGTCTGCAGTGTTCTGAGTGACTGGTTTTGTGCAGAAACTGGTTTGAATTGGGTGACACTGAAAGGAGCAGTAAACTGATGGCCTCTAGTTCTTGTCTTTCAGCTTGCAGCTCTGAAACACTCAAAAAAAGCAGAGGAACAGAAATTGTCTGAGGTTCAGCAACGTTTGGAGCAACTGGAGCCTATCAAAGAGAAGGTAAAGGGAGTAACACAGGAGCTGAATGTGAGTTGGAGTGCAGTAACCATAGAATGGGTTGGGTTGGAGGGGACCTTAAAGATCATCAAGTTCCAACCCCCCTGCATGGGCAGGGACACCTCCCACTAGATTAGGCTGTTCAGAGCCCCATCCAACCTGCCCTTGATCACCAGCCTCTGCCTACTCATGTCCAGAGAAACAAAGAAAGTTCTGGAATGTGAGAGGGAAGGAAAAACTTCCAGCTCCCAGCAAACCAGAACAGGTCCAGTGATGAGACCCAGCCCTCGTTTCACAGTAATGCCCATTCTTGGTGCAACTTGAAGAGCTACTGACACAGTTGTGGATCTGCAAGGTTCTGGCTTGGCTGGATATCTTGATTTTTGGTGCTGTTGCTTTCAGCTAAGTCTTTTGCAACTCTCTATCAAAGCCCTGCTTAGAGCTGCACTCAGCAACATACCCCTCATTGAGAAGTGTTGAGAGAGGACCCACCCCAGGTGAGGTTCCTGTGTCAGTGGAGCTCCTCTCACCTGTGGTTCCCCTTTGCAGTGTTCAGCCCTGCAGGCAGAGCTGGGGGTGCTGAGGGCTCACTCTCAAGAGCACATCAGAGCCCTGCAGAGGGATCAGGATGGATCTTCACCTTCAGACTTCACAGAAGAAGTGAGCTTGACTATCCAGTATTCCTCCTTACTAAGCAAATCTGTTTGCTATGAATGATTTCTTTTTGAGCTGAGCTAAGAAGAGAAAACATTTTCCCCACAGAAGCTCTGTGTTTCTAGTCGCAGGCTCTACAGAGGGAGAAAGGATATGATCTTCCTGCTGCTCACTTTGTTGCTTGATTTATTTGTTTAGATTAAAACTTGAAATTTTAAGTTTAGATTTATAAACTGAAAGACTAGTAAGAATTAAGTGTGAGTCTACTTTGGGTCTTTGCACCTGCCCCAGTTTTGAAGGGATGGGTTTGATTCTGAATTAAGGTGGAATGAGGTTTTCTGCTTCCTTACCTGAATTTCTGATTTGAAAAGTGGATTCTTTGAAAACCACGTGTTTGGAGTTACTGTTCTGGAGAAGTCTCTGATCTTGAGTCCAGTGCTTCACATGTTGATGTGAAGCACTTTGTCTCCTGTCTCTTTTCCAGGTCAAGAAGATCATGAACAGTGTGTTTCAGTCTCTTCGGGGTGAATTTGAGCTGGAAGAGACCTACAGTGGCAGGACAGTTCTGAGTGTTGTCATGAACACCATTAAGGTACAACAGTGATGAGATACAAGGTGATGATGTGATAGAGCCAGTCTTGGGCTAATAACACACATTTGTGTTGTGAGTCTGAAATAATTAGAGTAGAAATTTGCTGTGGGGGGCAAAGCAGCCCAGGGTGTAACCTGTGTTCTCTCTACTAAATTGTTTATTTAGACTGTAACACTGCAGCTACTGAACAGGCAGCAGGAGAAACCAGATCATGACAGTAAAAAGGAGGAATCTGGAACAGGAACCGTGAGACAGGAGGGATCACCTGGAGCAAAGGAAGACCAAGAAGAGCCCAGCTCAGCACAGAGCGTTGCATTCCCAGTGGATTCTGGGGAAGTGACCACAGGCTCCGTGGTGTCTGACCAGGAAGACCAGTCTACTCCTCTGTCTGATGGGCCCAGAACTCCTGAGGAAGAGCAGGAGACACAGAGTAGTGGGTTGTTAGAAGATGAGAAGGTCAAGAAAGAGCATCTCTCTTCTGGAGCAGACTCTTGCCTGGATCGTGATGAGGGCCCTGTGCTTGCAGGACATCCTGTTCCTGGGGTGGATGAGGACCTTGTCCCAGCTGAGCAGGAGAGCAGTCCCATCAGGAAAGCTGAGACTGAACACAGTCCCTCCAGAGTATCTTTGCAGGCAGAAGTTGCAGAACCTTCTGTTCTAGAAGCCAAGGCAGGAGAAGCAGATGTGGCAGTGCTTCCAGGAAAGCCAGCAGTGGAGCAGAAGATAGAGGAGCCTGTGGGAGCTTTAGAGCCCCCTCCCTTAAACGGTATGGGGGGGTGCTGCACAGACCCATCAGAGGGAGCCACCTCCCAGGAGGAGCCTGCTTCAGTATCCAGCACAGCAGAGCAGAGCTCAGCCATCATCAGAGAGACACCAGGGCAGCAGGGACTGGGCTCCAGCCCCAGGGAAAAAGATTCCAGGTAAGGAGTGAGTGCTGGGTTAGCCACGGTCCTGCTTTCCTGCTCAGCAGCTCAGCCTGCTCCAGCAGCACACCCTGGGGCTGGGTCAGCTGTGCCACCACTGTAGGGCACCTCACACCAATAAGGTGGGCAGGGTGAGCCAGGTGCTGAGCAGGTTTTCCATGGCCTGCTCCTCTGGAGCTGGACAGGCTGGGGGCTGGGGGGGGGTCTGGAGGATGGAGCCAGACTCTTCAGTAATGGCTGGTGAGAGGACAAGGGGCAATGGACACAAGCTGGAGAACAGAAGTTCCAGCTGAACATGAGGAAAAACTTCTTTACTAGAAGGGTGACAAAGCACTGGGACGGGCTGCCCAGGGAAGTTGTGGAGTCTCCTCTGGAGATACTCCAAACCTACCTGGATGCAGCCCTGTGGAATGTGCTCCAGGCAATCCTGCTTTAGCAGGGGGTTGGACTAGATGATCTCTAGAGTTGCCTTCCAACCCCAACGATTCTGTGAGTCTGGGGGGAGGCAGTAGGGGACCTTCAGATTGGACATTAGGAAGAATTTCTTTACTGAAAGAGTGGTCAGGTCCTGGAACAGCTGCCCAGGGAGGTGGAGTCACCATCCCTTGAGGTGTTCAACAAATGTGTAGATGTGGCACTTCAGGGCACACTCCAGTGACTAAGGTTCTGGGTTTGGTTTTTGGGATGTTTCTTCTGGTGGGGTGTGTGTTTGTGGTGGTTGTTTGTTTTGGTTTTCTTCTGTGTTGATGGTTGGACTGGATGATCTCAGAGGTCCTTTCCAACCATGACCATTCTGAGGCACCCTGAGCCCAGCAGCAAAACTTTTCCATCATTCTTTAACAGAACTTACAAAACCAGCATCCCATCACCTGCACGCAAACTGTTCACTCTTTATCTCTTCTAGCCTCTTTGAGGATGACAACTTCTTTGAAACAGCATCTCCTAAACCTCTGAAGCCTCGAGTTCCCTCTGAAGAGGAGGATGAGGAGGAAGTGGTATGTGTTGGTATTTTTCTACTAAACTGGTTCAGGTGTTAACCCCATAGCTTGTCTGAAATCCTTCCCAGGAGACCTGCCTGGCTCCTGCCAGCTGAGCTCAGAGCTTCCTGGACATTCTCTGTATAAATCAGGAGTGTCTGGGTTTGTTTCTTGGTGCACTTGGAGGGATTGCCTGGGCTGGGGTGGAGATGAGACTCCTGCTGGCATGGAGTGAGTGAGATGTGCCAGGTGAAGGGTTTTAGTGTCTTGCCCCTCTCCCATCCCTTCTAGCCTGTGAGCATCTCCTGGAACATGAACATCATATGAAAAGTACAAACCCATCAGTAACGAGGCTCCTTGATGCCATCTCCCTAAAGGTGGTGGAAATCTGGGAGCCAGAACTCTGTAGCAGTTACTAAACACTGGGAAGCTGTGAAGAGTGACAAGTGTCCCTCTGGTTTGACTTGCAGAGCATGAAGGGGCGTCCTCCCCCCGCGCCGCTCTTCGGTGACGATGACGATGATGATCTGGACTGGCTGGGATGAAGAGTTGCCTGGTGAGCCTGTGAGGCCTCTCCTCTGGGCATGGCCCTTTCCTGGGCACTCAGCACTTAACGAGCTGCCCACATGGGACAGCTGGGAACACCCAGGGGCTTCCCAGGCTCTTGTGCTGTGGACTGACAGGGCCTGAGAGCAAGTGGCTCTTTTTCTGCTCATGGGCCCTCAGACCTGTTGCTCTGACCTGACACCATGTGCAGAGGTTGGGGATGAGCTGAAGGAACCAGCCAGTCTGCACGTTTGTATCACTGTCCTTCTGTGAAACCCTTGATTTATTAATCTGAAACTTTATGCAAATAAGAACTTCGAAGTGTTTCAGAACAACAAGTCTGGCAGGACCCTGCAGTAGGTAACTACTTAAAAAAAAAAAAAAGGCAAAAACCAGACTAGAATCTCTCTCTCCTTTCCCAGTGAAGATTCCTGGTAGTTCCCAGGGGCTCTTCACTGGCTTCTCAGCAGGTATTAGCAACATGCAGTGGGAGAGTGGACCAAGAGGCCCTGGCAGGTGTTTCCTGTGAGCCAGGGGGGGCACAGGCAGCTTGGGGGACCCCCAGGGCTTTGGGGTGGGTGCCCCTGCATGTTCAGAGCTGTGGTGCTGGCTGCCCCCCCAGCAGCACTGCCAGGCCAGGCTCCAAGCCCAGGTGGAGCACCCAGTCATTGCTGCTGGGAGAAGCCAAATCCCCAGCCTGGTTTTCTGGAGGCCCCCGAGGCTGATGGAGGCCTCCCAGAAATGTTTGCACTGTGCTGCTCTCTTCACACCACAGGTCTGAGGTCTTGGGAGTTGTGCTGGGTTGTGCTTCACTGGCAGGGAAAGCAGCAGTGCAGGTGTGAGCAGTGCAGGTGTGAGCAGTGCAGGTGTGCTGTGTGCTCCTGGGGGGCAGCCACACCCCTCTCCTGTGCCCTGGTCTCTGCTGCTGCTTGAAGCACCACTTGGTGATGGTGGGAGGTGGGTACAGCCTGTCCTCACCAGGGCTCTGCCAGGCACCCAGGGGCTTGGGGTGTCACTTTCAGTCTAAGTGGACCAAAAGGGGAAGCTGTGAGGAGGGACAGCTGGGCAACCCCCTGGATTGCTTATAGCCCTCCTGCTTCTGCACTGACTGGCACTAACACAACTTGAAAGTATGAGCAGTTCTTAGGATCTTAAACCCCAACCCCTCCTTCAGTTAATGCCAAGGAAGTGCTTAAAATTACTGCACCATAGTTGAGTTTTCTCCAACTGTCTCCTAATGTATCTGAGCTGAATTTGTTCTGTATCCTCCTAAATGGGGTTTTCTGGGGAGGAG